AGATTTTGTATGTTTTTGGAACTGTTTTCAATTTGAAAACATTTAATAATGTAAATTATTCGGAGTCATTACTCCGTTCTTCAGAGTCACATGATCCATCAGAAATCATTCTTAATATGCTGATTTGGTGTTCGAGAAACATTTAATCTTATTATCAATGTTGAAAACAGTTTTGCTGCTTGATATTTTTTGTGGAAACCGAGATACATAAAAAGTTCAAAAGAACAGAATTCACTTGAAATAGAAAACGTTTGTAACATTATAAATGTCTTTAAAGGTATTTATTTGCGTCAAAACCATTGCATGGTAGTGCATATATGTTAGTCCGAATTTTGCAGTCAATTTCAATTTTGCTACAATTTCAGTCTGACTTAAAGCATTTACATAACATTTTAAAAAGGCAAATAATTGTTTTAGTCAAACTTAAATCAAACTCTTAAAGGGTTAGTTCACCCAAAAATGAAAAATCTGTCATTATCGAAGATGAACGATGGTCTTATGGGTTTGGAACAACACAAGGGTGAGTAATTAATGACAGAATTTTCCTTTTAGGGTGAACTAACCCTTTAAAGTGCATGTAAATGCCAAGAGCCAAGCCTTTTAGCGCCTAGCAGATGTAACTTCTGACTGACCTCGCACAAGTCTCTGACTCTCACTGTGAAGCTGCTTGAGTGCCTCCTTGCTGGCTCTTGCTGCTTTCCTCTCCTGAAAACAGTTTGTTCAGGAAGAGCAAGTGAGTGATTTTGTTAGACTCCATTAACACAATCAATGTGCAGGGCTCGCAAAATTTCTAAACCCCTGGTAACCCTTCGGGCAGGTACTCTTCAGATTTTGGTAGCCGAAAATTTAACTAGCCCAATTAAAAAAAAAGACCTTTTTTTTTTTAAAAATATAGAAAATCAGATAGGAGTTTAAATGTATTCTCTGCCACGAGGTGGCGCTTTAGGAGCGCTGAAATATTGCGGTTTCCCAGGTAAGGGCTGTACACAAAGCAGCTCCGCACTCATAAACGCTGCTTTATCAGGAATTATAGGTAAAATGAAATTAAAATGCCAACGACACGTTTCTGAGGACAGTTAGTTACATTCAGATACATTCAAATAAAGACACCCGCGCGCCGCATTTGACTTGAAACCTGCAGTGCTCATATTTATTCAATGACATCATTGCCTTTTGAAGTTTAATCCAGCCATATGGCAACTCTCCGTCCCCAACTGTAAGACCTCTTGAAATTATAATTAAGACATTTCTTATACCATTTAACGTATTTAAAACTTTGTATGGCCTTAAGTTTGATACAAATCACTTTAGGAGTTTTTAAGGACCCGCGGGAGATCTGCATTTAAGATAGCCCGTCGGGCAGAGTGGTGATACATTTTGGTAGCCCGACTGGAAAACACAATAGCCCCGGGACGTCGGGCTAGGCGATTTTGTGCTACTCTACACTGCCCAAAAAACTCGCGTTTGAATCATCAGTGGCAAATTCTTTAA